GATTTTCCCAGACACTGGGACAATGAGGTGTCGGGATTTTTTATTGCCATCAGGACGAAGGCCAACTTCGGACTTCGTATGAAAATTGGGCTCCATGTTCTAGAAAAGTTGGTTTGGCTATTTACACAAAAGTCATTAAGCCAGGGATCCATGGTCAAATCACAAACATTTACCCGGTAGTAAAATTTCTGGGGTCATTTTGCCATTTAATGCGGAAGAAATGCAAGTCACGCACAGAACTCCAGAGCCTAGTTATATTTGCTGCTTCTGCAGTTTCAAGACTCTAGTCAAGAAAAAGACTCTACTTTCAAGCGTTTCTGAACCTACAAGAATAAAATCTTAAAGGGCGATCGCAGATGGGTCTTCATTTTACCTCATGTGAACAATCTTGTGTGGGAGGAGCCAGAATTATCATCTTCTGTCGGTCCTACACATGCTACTTCTACCTTCTCATTCCCAGCAGCTTGCACAATGTGTCAGATATTGCTAAGGGAGCTTACCTGGGCAATCTCTTTCTCCTGGGTCTCTGGTCAGAGCACGAGAAAGATCGTCATAGTAGCCAATCCTGAAATAGACTGGTTTGATATAGGACGACATCAAGTCTATCGCATATATCCGTTACGAAAGGGGGGGGGGCCCCAAGTGGCTCCACTTCTGGATTTAAACCTCCGTTTCCCATTATACGTTCATATGCGTTAACATACACGTATTTCATGTACCAGATATATAATGTACAATGTCAAGGCAGATCATCTGTTGAGGTTTGTGAAACTTTAGAGAGCACCAGCTGTCAGCAGAATGCACAAACCAAATGGTCTCCATATGCGAAGTTCCACTGATCAACTTATTTGCGTCATACCGAGTACATGTAGTGACATTTACGTGCCTTTATATCAAAACTACGGACAAGCCCTGTTTGGCGACGCGTTTTTTCCACATATGGAAATGTTTTAAACCCAGCGGGGGAGTTCTCTCCAAGCTTTTTGATTTCTTAGGTCCTGGATTATTTCAATCAAGCACACAGAACGTGCCTACTAGTAGTTCCTTAATGAGGGCGAGTTTTTTGGCGTGTCTCGCTTGCCATAGTACCCCGCTTCTTTACGCTTTATCACCTAGACAAAGTCCTAATTAAGAACAAGGCGGCCACCACCGAGCGTCTACGACATGACCTTGGAAGTGTGGAAACGTGAGATGTCTGGAATACTATTAAAATGATATTCTATACAATTGAAATCTCTTAAGAAATCATGGCGTCCGTCAATACGTTAAATCTATAGTGCAGTCCTCAAAAGGTTGCACCGCACCGGAGGGGGGGGGGACCCTCAGCTCCTATAGCAAGACTTTTGACTACATTTTTATCTATATCGGATCTCTATTGAATCAATAATTTGTCGTACAATTAAAATTTGTCACAAAAATCTGTGGTTGCTGTCCTTTGTTAACCAGAACCATATGTCGTTTAGCATGTATTGTTAAAAACTATACAATCAGTAACATTAATTTAACTTATGAACTAACACATCAGTTAGGTACTTATATTTGAGATTAACTGACTGTGTAAAACATGTTGTAAATGGTGATTGATCATGTCAATCCCCCTGTTTGGGTCATAAACGATCTAGCTAGATTCTTAGACAGTAAACTTATTAATAGTCTTTCAAGTGCAGAGACAAACAGCTGTTCCATTTCTCCTATACTCCAGGAAAAGATTCCATGACCTAACTTTCCTCGATATTGATACTAATAATTACCATAATCATAATGACGTAGACGTACTAGTTTTTCGGTCGGCTTTTAGATCAAAAACTGATTCTGTTGATTAAATGGATAATAATAAATTAGCTTTCACGCACGACTTTGCCCGTGTATTTCTACCATGGGAGCATTTAATCGGGATATATCACCGAAGTCGGCCCATACCCAGCCTGTATACCAAATTTCTAAAGCTCAGATCCAGTCCAATGGACTAAGCATACCATAAGAGGCATAACTTAATGGCGTAAGCTGTGATGTTATGTGTCAATTTTGAAAATAATGCAAATTTCTTAAACCGACATAGAAAAATTTAATTGCGGTCAGGATAAAGTTCCTTCTTGGTGGTAACCGATATTAAGATATCAGTAATCCCCCAAGATATCCTGAGGGTTTCAGATCAGCTGTGATCTGAAAAAATTTAGTGGATAGTTATCCTTTTGAGGCGATCCTTTCTAAGATGTGTGTGCCTTTGTATGTCACCTTTTTATTCAATACAGACGATTAGAAAATTAGAAACGAGGCAATAAAATACCTCAGAAATATATAACATCTGTTTTTGTTCAGATCAAATACAATTATTATTGAAAAAATTAAAAATAACAGGTTTTCTATTCAATACCTTTCATCAAAACATGTATATGTTTTTAGATATTTGCTATTTTTCTTAGTTTTTCTATTCTGTGATTTTACCACATCATACCAGGTAGTACGAATGCGGTCAACGCAGTCATACTACCTCACATTGGCGTCTGTCACTTCCACCAGGCGATAACAAACACGTCTCAATTAAATAAGCTTCGAATAACGGTCAAGTCAAATTAATGGAAGCGTTTTACCTACCAATAAAACGCATATTAATTTACTTACCTTATTCGAAGCTTATAGTCAAGCTCTGCCTGGTAATGAGACTCAATGAAATAAAAATGGCGAGTCTCGCTTAGCAAGACTCCCCACCACTGCCAAGTGGAAGTGACGTAGTAGAAAGAGATAGACATATAGAAAAAGCGGAAGGAGGGAAGCAGAAGGCCTATCTCAATTAAATAAGCTTCGAATAAGGTAAGTAAATTAATATGCGTTTTATTGGTAGGTAAAACGCTTCCATTTTTCTATTGTTCTAGTATATCGAGACAATCGGATCAACGTTTTAAGAAGTATCTTAATACAACATCAGTCCAGTTAATAACTATAAAAGATAACCATTTTGTTCTTATTAATTCTATGGCAATGCACGGCGATTCCTGCGAGCTATGCACTCAAGCTAGAAATCACTTACTTAAAGTGGCTGGTAATGAAATAATATGATAAATTTACGAAAACAAAATGTACAAAACACAGGTCAAAATAAAAAAAGATTGTAACAAATCAAAAGGCGAAATAATTGATCTATGATTTTTGCAGGAATATTCAAATGTGCACAAGATCCATTATTCTGTTATGATGGCATTAAGAAAATTGAGTTTAGTAAACCGATACTTATGCAGGTGAGCACCCAATTATTGAAAGTGGCCTAGTCGACTGTATTAAGTGAAACAGCAAATAAACTGTTGTATATACAGTTATTTAATTACGAGCGCGGGTGAGCCATATGTGTTGTTGTAGTGCGTATAGACATGCGCGCTTGTGTGCGTAAATCGCAGCAAGCTCATTTATTGTCATGCCGACCAATACGGCGTTCCCGAGCGTACGCAAACAAAGACAATGTGCGTGTACATTTACCCACACAAGTATGGCGCACCTGCGCTCGTGAAATGAGACATCTATATCTCATTTATCCGTGCTAGATATTTAAACGAAGCCATGCGCTTTTGTTTCTGTGACCTGCATTTCCAATCACAATAATTTGTAGATCACATACAATCGTTCAGATAACTTTTTCTTAACAAAGATCTCTGAAATAATTTATGTTTTTACTTCAATTTCAGCATTTTCCGCTGTACAGAAAGTCAGACGCGGTTTGTACAGATCCAGACGCGCCGCCATTGCCTGAACGAAATAAAGAATTTATACCGAGATATGACTCTTTGTCTAAAGAAGCTACAGACTTTCTAGTCACTAGGGTGAAGCCTAAGGTCGTGTTTGGAGGTCACACTCATCATGGGTGCCTACAGCACCATGTTTATGAGAATCCAGAACATTTAGAGTTCGAAGAATATTCTGTGCCATCGTTTTCATGGAGAAATAGACCTAATCCGAAGTTTATGCTGGTACGCGTTTCTTATATTTAGTTTGTCACACACCTAAAGCGCATACTTCCTTAGAATATAAGCGCTTTTTGCGAGTTGTATTAAATATAAACTGTAATTTTGTCAACGTTTTAGGTAACGATAACACCCGATGACTATGCAGTGCATAAATGTGAGCTACCAAGGGAAACTACTATAGTAATAACAGGCATCATCATGCTATTTGCCGTTATATGGGTGACTACACAACGAAAACTCATTGGGAGATGAGTATATGGATTCAGTATTAAGTAAAACAAAAACTTTGTAAATTAATCTCATGATTATATTTGACAATAAATATTTTGACAAGATAGAGCACTTTGTACATTGGCAACTGGAGTTTTCGTTTCCAGTTGTCACATTACAGACCTAGGTACAATTACATTTTAACAAATTATCACAAAGACCTACCTACTAACATTAAAATAATTCAGCCGCCCACAATAAGTTATAAATACATTATGAAAGCACAATAGAGGTAGATAAAACATAGAGATTCTTTCATTAACTTAAAATAACGAATACTGATATTGGTAATGTAATTGGGAGGGCTCTTTTAAATACAGTGAAAATTAAAAACATTGTTAATTGTTTAAAAAAAGTAAGTGGATGAGCAACCTTAACATAGTATGTATATTGTACTTGAACTTTTCATATAACAATGTTATAAACTATCATTCGCTGTAGTACCTAACACTTAAAACTAAAATCAGTCTATGAAACTCTAAAATGAGTCTTACAATCAAAGGTACATAGTCTACTGAGCATTGTCACCTATCAGTACACATTATATCATGTATGCTACGTCTCTATTTTCCACATCAAAGTTACCAAATAAGGGCACTTTACGACGAATTAAATATCTAAGGCCGCGTTTAAATTATTTTCACCTAAATCTACTATAGTCCTCTGAGCGAACATGGCCTCTTCTAAGCGCGCCACATGCAGACTGAGGAAATAGTTGAAAGAGGCAGTCGCATATATATAACTAAGTATATACTACAACAGTACATAACAGTCAAACACTTCAATGTCTTAATACTAGCGTGAAAATACTGGACTAAGTTAATTCAGTTATTTGATTACAAAAGTAATAAGTCTATCAACCTTCGATCAACAATAACAACTAGATATCGGGTCGGCGCAAGAAAATCGTCTCGACAAATAAGAGCTCACTTGAAAAGTGAGCTCTTATTTTGTTTAGTATGCTCCAAACACGGCCAACGTTCTCACGTCTCACGATGCCGCAGTGCGTGGAAAAATTATAACCGAAAAAGCAGTATAACGGCCGGAGTGTCTTACTTTTGATAAGTACATAAAGTATAAGTTATATTTTAAGCTTTTGAACTAGTAAATAATAGCAAATTAGACAAAATTACCAATTATAAACCAAAGCCACCAATGTTTGTGCGTGTGTTGGCGATCCCTTGGCCAAGCCTCGCCAACATGCGCACAAACATTTGTTTAAACAGAACAGTGGATGCATGGAGTCGATTTGTATTGTAAAATAAAATTGTATTGTAACCTGATTGGAAAAGAGTATCTAACCTATAGAGTTTCTTGCTTGTTCTTCTCCATAGGAATCTACACCTTGGAATGAGCAAATAGCTTCACTTTTAAATTTATATTGTTGACGTTCAAAAGAGCCTTCCTGATCTAACTGAAATAAATGATTTTGACTTAGACTTTTAATGATAAAGTAAATAAACATATCATATACAAAAACGTACCGCTAATAAAAATATGTGATGTATACTAAGATCCCGAAATCTTAATTATCATATTATGAAATTATTTTAGTGTCCAACGCGACTCCATACATACCTCTTGTAGCAAAATTCGAAATTTGAAAAAGCAAAACGAAATAAAACAAAACGATATAGATCGCAAGACAATAATGGAAAAAATATCGTTATTTGTTCAAACTTAAGGTTGAATTCAAACTAGATATTGTATAACTTATGTCTTTTAATTTCTACATGACAGGAGTTTTACTTAATACTTTTCTCGTCTTGTGACGAATGGTCGTAAGTATTAGATAATATTTTGACGATTTATGACTATATTATTAGGTCCCATGGTTGTTATTAGGTTGAACTTAAAACTATTTTAAATCATTTTTCTCTGTTTGTTATTTTTTTACTATGATTATTCACACGGACAGAACTGGAGCTTGATTTTGTACGTAACCCTTTATCTAGTTGCTATTGTTGATCGAAGCTATCAACAGATCTATTGTGGAGAGAATGGAAGTTTGTAAAAGATTCTTTTCCTTCTAGAATAGGAATATTTCGAATTAAGGGTGAAAACATTTTAAATGTTTATGTGAGATACGAATCTCACGTTTTGTTACTTATTTTTAAAGTGGCTTTCAAACAGCGCTTGGTAACTCAACAATAAAATTAGATTCTTAGAATAAACAGACTCAACAAGTGAGCAGGACAAAACCGTGGCCGGTGATGCCCTTTCTTATGTTCTATAAGAATATAATTTGTAATACTCTAGGTTGTTGCGCGGCGGGCGCCTGGTGTGGCAGGTCGTGCGAGCGAGAGCGCGCGTGGTGCGCGTGCGGGGCCCGGCCGGGGCGCGGCGTCTGATTCTGCTTCTGATGGTATCCCGTGTTCGCATGTCGTGCCGACGAGCATATCACCGCATGCAGGTAACGGTCATACCTACATAGATGTGAATCGCCGCCGCTTGCTAGATCTAAGTATCCGTTGCCAGAATTATCAGATTTCTTCTTTTGGAATGCATTTATTGGCTTCTCACTGACCGTGTAAGATCTGTTTCGAAGTTTCTGATATTTATTCGTAACTTCTTCTTCAATAGTAACAGGTTCACAGGGCTTTCTGTAATAGAAATAAAACAATAGTCAGATACGCGATAGATAAATCTTGTAAAAACCATAGTTATTCGAACAACAAAGGCGTTCTGAATTAAGTTTAAACAAAGTAAAAAAGATACACACCTTGAGGCTTGAAAGCTCATATGGTTTTTTTCCATGTTAGCTTGAATTATTTCCAACAATTCGCGTCTTTGTAAACTTCCAGAACGTTTCTTAGTATGTTTCCGCTCCCGATGTTCTCTGCGAGGTTGACGATGTGCTCGGGATTGTGCATAAGTAGTTTGTCTTGGAGAACTGTGGGCAGGTCTCCTGTCTCCCGAACATGAAGATTTCGAGGAAGCATCGTCGTCCGGAGATAATCTCCCTCTTTGCTCGTCCTCGCTATGGTCTATGCAGTCGGGAGGCGATGCGTTAACGTTAGTAGAACATTCTCTTCGTCTTTCCTCTCGCCTCTCACGTCGCCGCGCCTCTCGCCTCTCACGATGACTTCTACAATTACCATCTTCCGGCACAACAGTTAACCGCACTTGAATTGTCTTTGACCCATAATGCGGCACTGTCACTGATTTCCCGATGGATTCGTAGATTGTAGAAACAATTCCAGCAATGTCCTATAAATTACACATTGGGGTTAGCTAAGTGCTCACTAATAATAGATTTTTATAATTTTATAGCAATAATTTCAATGTTTTCAATTTACTTACATCCTTGGTCATACGTCCGTGCCCGTCTAAATCATATAAGGTAAAGGAGAACTGCAGCGGTTGCTGTTTGGAGGGTTCAGGATGCTGCAATTCTACATCACATGTCAGCTCCTGGAATACGATAAACAGAAGTCGTTAAACATTTTAATTCATCAAACAATCTTACGTTACTATTATTAAACGCGTACGATTTCATTCAACGTTTTGACAAGGGGATATCCATGAAGAGCTCGTTAGTATTCGGAGTAATCAGTGTTCCTTTTACCGTTTCCTTATTGGATTACGCTCGAAAGGTTATGTTGTAGTAGATAACCCAGTGGCGCCGGACATAACGCGTGTGGCGGCCGACTAGGCGGGCGTCCTCCTTATCTCCTTACGCTTTAAAAGGAAACTAGCAATGCCTTTAGTTCACAATCAGCAGAACAAGGTAGTCGGCCCGCCAATTATTGCCTCTAATAATTAACTTACGGTGACTCGTTACTGATTCAACTAATGTTCAATGCTTTCACGGGTGACATCTTTCATAAATCACTGGCTTTACAGTAAAACCATATATAACATAATATCACAACCTATGGCTATGTTCAGTAAGCAGAAATTGGCAGGTGATTCCGGCAAATCGACAAAAGGCCCCGACTTACTTTGACAAAGGATGGGTCGGACACATGAATGATGAACCAGTTCTCGTTATCAACTTTTTGGGTGTTCGTGTTGCTTTAACATTTCTTATTTAAAAACAATAAATATGTTAAACAAAAAGCACTTTGCCCGCGAGTGGATACTTCTAAAGTTTTTTTAACGAAAATTATAAAGGTGACATCTAAGAGGCCGTCGTTATAGCTGTTTTAAATTCTCTAAGAATTCATGGTAATAAATTATGTAGATTGTAAAGACATGAATTTGATTAAATCTTAAGCCACGACTTGCTTGGTTACTAATCGCCACTTTCTAATTCCCATACACGCATGGGTGGCGGGCGGACGGGTACAACCGCACTGTAAGTATTTTAACAATCACTATTTGCGTTTGCCACTAATAAATTAATGGTTTTAGAGTGCCGAGTAATTTGAATAAAAAGTTCGTAACTATAATTACCTCAAATCGTAATCTGGGGTGTTTTTCATCATTTTTTTCCGCCATTGGGGTGGGTGACGGAGGTGGTTTGTAGGACGGTTCATGGGAGCGGGGGGGCGGCGCTGGTGGCGTGTTCGGCTGCAGCAAGGCGCGGGCCTCGCTTGGCAGCAGGTCAGGTGGTGCTGAACATTGTGAAGCTGCTCGTCCCACCAGCTCTTCGGTGTCCGTCCTCTCGCTCTCTGTACCAACTGGAAAGTAAGTAAAAGATGTTGGTAAGTTAAAATTCAGACATTCCTATATAACAATTTTTTTTTTGGAAATTGTTCTGAGATCAGTCTCAAGTCAGACGTTTATCTCTGTTCTGTTTAATTTTAAGGATAAACATTTTCTCAAAAACATGATCATTATAATATTTATAAAGAACAATACGCGTACATTTATCGTACACATATGTGTTTTGTTAGGGTACCTTGGGCAGAGCGGTACTTCGGAAGAAATGTTGCTAGTAAGGATTTAGGTACAGACAAAAACTCAATAATACATTGTTTATTTCGTATCTACAAGTGGATATGTGGAAGTTTACTTATATTCTGTTTGTATCTTCCAAAAAATAAACCATCGAAGCGGATTATTCGCTAAATGACTATAATAAAATCGTAATAAGAGATGAGTTGCAAAAATATTATTGTAAGAGACAAAAATAAAAAGTACAAAACTGAAGATGAACGAGGCCGGCGTCGGCGTCAGTATATTCGGATATAAGATTCTTTTAAACAATAAAACGGGGAGAACCTAGCCATCATGAATAATTAATAAGTACCTAAGTTAAGTAAACTTCAAAATTATTGCCTATATAAAATTGAAATTGGCTATACGCAATAGCCCGTGGTCGGGGTCCACTCAACAACAGGTACAACGCTACAAAACTCACATTGTTGTTTTATCTTCAATTCGTATTTCGTGCTATTTTAGTCATTGTAATCATTACTAAGGAACACAATACGAGTAACATAATGGGCAAAGAGAAAAAAAGTTGTGTACCCAAAAGCCTGTGTCGGCGAAACTCAAAAAGTTTGTGTGATGCGGACCGACGACGCCGGGGAACGGAGACTCGGAGAGATGTAAACGACACAAGGTTACGGGGAGCGTTGAGACATTTCCTGGAAGGGCCCGTGAGTGGGTCGGCCTTTGGAACGTTTGGGATCCACCGTAGCATCGCACATCTGCCGCTAATGTTATTTTCTCAAAAGAGGCGGCATTTCTTTTACCCTCCTACTAAATTCTGTTTAGAAGTTTTATTTTTGCATTGTTCGTTCAAGTTGTTTTTACATATCAAGTAGTAAAATTGGAGTAATAAAAAGTGCTTCATATTATAGGGGCTCTTACTGTATTATTCAATCAAATATACTACTTGGCTATAAAAAAAGATTTGTCGTTTTCGTTCTTAGAAATTGGGTTGGAATGAAGAACAGTAATTGCTAACATGGCAACCAGAAGTTTTTTGACCCTTGAAAATAATACAGTTGTTTTACAAATCATATCGTTTATAACGAGTCTTCCAGCTAGCTAGTATAAACAGACTGTAGAGTAAGATGCCTTTTAATGACTGAACTTTACGCTTTAACGACATTTACTGGAGACGCAATAATGCGGCTACTTGTAACCACATTCCTACACTGTGATTTAGTTAGATTTAATAAAGCCGTTCTAATTATTCCGCGCAGCTTACAAGTAACTGCACCATGTAGTTTTATTTTATACACAGCCAAATGCAATAATAGAGTAAGATTTGGAATATGGAAAAATCATGTTTGCTTACCAACGAATACGCTAAAAAACTCGTACATTATACAAAGATCCTTTCAATGTTTATTTTGATTGCGTTTTTATGGCTAAAATCGTAACACAAACTCAAAAGTATGACAGAATAAAGGCAAGATTCAAAAAGAAGTTAAAATATCCCTAGCAAGCACACATCACTAAGGATTTTCATCTAAAACCTAAACAAACAATTTAATTATTACATCTTGAAACATTTTTTACTATTTGGCTTTGATGTTGATCATAAGCAAATGGTTCACTCCTCAACTGTACGGGAGATTATTAAAATGAAAGACGTTTTCTTAATGAAGTATACGGTTTACAAACTATTTTGTAACTATACAGAACAAGATCAAAGCGCTATTTATATTTGTTTGCTTTGAAGTAGTTTTAGTTAAGTAAGTGGATGCTCGGTTGCTCACATAATATAAAGAAGCCGAAATAAACTTTTATTTATTTACGACAGTCGGCCTAATGTGTTAATTCTCTTTCATATGTGGTGAGCATCAATATTTGCAATTTTAATTTTATGGATGTCTGATAAGAGGATTTTTTCTATTAAAAATACATTTACATGATTTTAATGTTCGCACTGTTATAACATGTTTTTATTAGCATATAACAACACAGTGTTGTTGACTAAAATTAGCCCAAGGAACGTCTAAAACATGAAAACAAAATCATTTAAAAGATACAAGTAAAGTGGACGCGTCTGTACGTGGGCTGTGCCTTGTAGCGGAAGGCAACTCGTCCTATTATTTGATTTTACTTTTTTTACATTCAATTCATGTTGCCGCGAATGAATCGCCCGGTCGGCGGGTCGTCGTGCCGGTACGACTGTTTGATCTTGCCGGCTTTTGATAACATCGTGCGAGATCGTAAAATCTTATAATAAGCACGATAAAGGTATAACCTTTACATTAGTTAGTCACACAACACTGACTAACATAATTGAATAGACATGATAAGTTCATAGAATGAATGTAATGCCTAAATGTGTTAGTGCTATAGCCAGTTAGATAGGTCCATACATACGCACTACGTATGTTTATTATTATATCTAAGCTAGTCTGAGCTGTTTGTTTATGTTTTTCCTATCGAAACTATTTTTTTAATGTTAAGACTGGTTGGTAGTTAGGTTCCAAGTAATGTTTTTGTACAAAAATAAATAATCAGTTTGTTGAACTCGCCAAATTCCTGGGCACGAAAACAAAGTGTGCGTTTATTACTGCTAAATCTGTATTTTACTTATGGGTAAGAAACGTAGGTTGTTGTTCATTTTAAATAGATAATACCCACAGGCTATATATTTTATTAGAAAAGTATCTATGCAAATACCGCCATCAATTTTAATACAGCAAAATAATCCAAGACTATGTACCTATGTACTATATTGAAAATCTTTATGTACTTATTAATTACTAGAATACAGGTAGGTACCTATATGTACTTACTTCCAAATTCCAATACAGATTAGAAGGTATAGCTTTCAGTATGAAAGCTGTTCTAAATGTACAGAATTGCTTAGCAATTTACCAAATTCCTGAGTCTGCTATTTCCACAACAATAGGTGAATAACAATTAAAACATTACACCTAACCAATCTGTAAATACTGGGTCGCTAGATGGCGTTGTTTTAAATGTAAACAGCATGATTTATAGAACCCTTCTTGCTCTATTTGAACTGCCCTTGACCGGTTTTTATAATAATATTGTGAAGTTTGCTATTCGTATCACATGTATTTATGTACCTAGTGTTGTTTAGTTTGTTTTTATTTCGATAACAGCCAATATTCCTGTTTTAAGTACCTATATCAACAACTATTCACTGCTCTATTCATAACACGAATTTAATGATATAAAATATTTGATCATGTAGGTTGCCATACGTAACTAGGTACCTACATCAGTGTCAAATATCAAGTATCAATATACGGTTTATACCTATGGAGGTTTGCATCAAGTTAGTAGTATTCAAGAGTATAACTTACTGCTAAACTTCTTGTATCCATTTCTAAACTTGTTGCGCCACCACTTAACGAAGTGGTGCGCCATGGGGGCGTCCGCGGCGGGTGCCGGAGCTCTCAACGTTTCGTAGCACGTCATGCGCTGCGCTCACGCACGCATCCCGTACACTTCAAAAGAACCGCTGGTGTAATTAATTATATCACAAACTATATTTCTAATTCACTTGCACTGTATTTGGTCACAACACAGGACGTATAAGGATTCGACGTTAGCACGAAACCTTTGACCCAGTTGTCCGCGTGAATGTTGAGCGACGAGAGAAATCGAGCGACCGTCCCTCGTGCGTGCCGTCGAGTGACTGACTGATGGATGAAGGGAGTAGGGAGGGGCGGCGAGGGCGCGGGATAGTGCGACGCGGTGTGGCGGCACTGGCGGTACTAGCGGCTGGCGGCACGGCGCGGCGACTGTTGTGTCGCGATCGCGAAACAAATACCGCCTGGTGTCTGACGGCGCACAAAATACAAAGTATTAGGCAACGTTTACGTGACAACAATAGTCCCTGATCACCGGCCTCTCAATGTGCGTCCCTGACGGGTTAACTCTCGGGCTTTGTTATTTTTGTTATAGTAAAAGCCTGCTACAGTATCTTTAACCGCATGCCTACTTTTAATACTAGGCGCCTTGATTTTCCTACCTGTGCGGTGTGTATAATCTATTATCTAAAACTCCAAAAGAAACTACTTTTAAGGTCTCCTAAACCATCGTTCTTACGTTCTAAGTAAATTTTATGTTTCCAAAGATGCTTCAGCACGAGTATCTTCTAGTACTCTCACTACTTCTCCAAGGTCGCTTAGTTCTACTGCAAAATTGTTACCCGCTTCGGATTACATAGTTCCAAAAAGTACCTAGCACCTAGTACTTCCTTTAGATTAGGTAGGTATATTTATAAACGCATCAAGTAACAGACGCTAAGTATCTATTTAGGTACCTATTTGTTCAATCTACCAGTATTACATCTAAATTACCTACCTACCTAATTAAGTATGTCAGTGTCACCTTGTCGGCTACTTATGCGGAAAGCGAAGGTGCTTCCCAAGTTCCCATAGGAATATTAATACGGCATTAGCGGTTAAAAGATAGTTCACTCGTTCAGGCTTTGATTTTATGTCGAATAAATGAATATTAAAGAAATAAATTAAAACTCTCTTTTGCAAGTTCTTCAGTGAGTGGACAGGTGTATCAGACATGAATAGTGACACCAACATAATTATTTTTTCCTATTTCTCTCTCAGATAGAATTTCGAAATTTTAATCTTCATGCTCGTTGACCGAGTGGTCGCAAGGGGTCTCGGGTTAGATTCCCGTTCGGGCAAAGTATTACTATAGGTTTTTTAAGAAAACTCAGTAGCAGCACGGAGTCTGGAATTGTGCCCGGTATATGGCAATAGGCTCACTCCCTATTATATGGGACTCGTAACATAAAAATAGTGAAAAGAGGTGTTACGTTGTAAGTACTTACAATGGCATTAAGTGCCGTAATGTGCACCTCTGCCTACCACTCCGGGGATAGAAGGCGTGATGTTAAGCTTCTTGCTCTTAATAGCATAGAAAAGGATTCTTACTTGGCTATCGTCATTGCAACTTTGCAACAACAATTCCAATCATAATAGGACATCAAAAATTGGAGGTGTAATGTGAATAGAAGTCTTTGAGTGTTTAGTACACTTTACCTATGCCCTTTAAAACTCGATAAATAAGTACCTATGATGAAGTTGTCTTCTTATGTATCTTTCAGTACCTATGCATGATACATTCTATGCCGCACAATGACATGGTACTTTCGATACCTAGGTATTTTAAGTTAGTTTATTGCACATCTAGATTATTGACTTATGTCGATAAGCGGTCCGTTTACATTTGTATCTTTGTATCATCTTAGTTAACTTTTACTTAACAACGAAAGTAAGCATAAATACCTATAGGGCAGTAATAGAGAGAAAGGTGAACGCGCATCCGCTACGTTGCTTGGCAATGGCAGCCTCCATGCGGTCGATGACCCTGAAGTAAGCGATTACAAAAAAGATTAAGGTAGGTAGATAGCTAGTAGGTACTCGGTTTGTGGCAAGTCAAGCCATACCTACTCGGACCGGCTTCATGCCTTTGAAGTCAATATAGGCGAAACAAGACGCTAAAATGGTCTACTCACTCTCCACATAAGTACCTACTTACATATCATAGTTCGTAAGTTGATAAGTTCCATTCATAAATACATTACAATGATACGATCGTATAGAAATCTATATGGAATGATGCCTAGATAGACTAGACACCAATGTACCTATTCTTTAGAGTTAGGATGATAAACAAGTAGATAAACAACTTCATATCTAATCCCAATTTCACATAAAAAAGATGTTGTATTTTGTGTGCTAAAATATTATTTAGATACGTAGCGTTGGGTAAATAAAGCTTAATTACTGCGGTTTATTCTTCTAGGGTGTAAAAAGAAACTTATGTGTCGTGCAGTGCTGTTCACTATTACACCCCCGATCGAGGGTGAGCTCGTGGGGTGCCAGGGATGTGGCACAGTCAGGACGTTTCAAATTAGAATTTTACTGCCTCTTCGTGTTAGGTTTATTGTCGAGAAGTTATCGTCGGCCAAGATGAGGTCGTATTCCAAAACTGACTTACAACAAACACTGTTTTATGTAAGTTTTATGTGCGTAATAAAGAAAACTTCACGAGGACGTAAAATTGTAATTATTCTCAGGTTCATTAGAAAGTATTCGATGAAAATACTGTGAATTACAAAGTAGATGTATGTAATTATGGATTATTAACAAAATGTTAGGACTTATCTACACGTTTACAGTCCAACTATCTGGAGCTGGAAATAGTTTAACAGTACATAATCGTCGCCTGGTAGTAGTAAGTCACGTTCTTTTGCTTTTTACCATAATATAGGTATCTATCGGATGACGTTACAATAAGATGACCATACACAGCGCTCGGGAGGGTCTCGCGCGCAGGTTCTACGTGGGTGGCGTGTTCCACGAAATAGTGTTGATGGCTATACCGGACGATTTTCAATATCGTCGATAAATTGCGGCTTTTATATTTTAATTGTATTGTATATAAACAGTTATTCAAAATATTGGTTCCAACGATGGTCGTAAAGTTTCAATGCTTATGTCCATAGTGACCACAAAGTCTATCCTTTCCTTAGAGTTTAGAAGGAGACGATGGGGGCCTAGAAATTTTTGGAAGCTGTTCGCTTCTAACGCTGCTGGCGCTACAGTTCAATTCCTAGTAATCCCGTGAATGCCTCGACAGATTGTTTGTTTGGTATCTGTAAGAATATCAAATCTTTGTATACGAATATAATAAAAAGATAATCTTACGAAGTGACCTGGAATGTTGATAGTGGCGTTATTTCTGCTATTCAGTCGGCTGGCACGTCGCCAGATGTGGTCGCTCGACTTCTATCGCATCGTGTGGGCAATGCCCACTCATGTATTTTCATCACACTTCTCCAATCTTCAGCTTTCTTGTAAAGGCACTTGTTTACTTGATCACCCAAGTAGGTTTCGCTAGGCTGTATACAGGTGCCTACTAAACTCTTTATAGGCACTTACTCCACATTTCATTGATTTATAAGATCATTGTTTTAAACAGAAGAGAAAGCACCATTGTACGAATTGTTGACCCAGATTTGTTGAAGTTCCAATTTGTATGGATGGAGATGATAGCAGATAGACAGTCAGATGCACGGTTTTCATTTAAAATATTATGTTAGGTGATCTCACACCTATAGTACCTATCTCCTCATTGTTCTCATAAATACTTCAATCAAGTCTTGTAACAAACGGTAGGATACGTACGAGGGCAGCAAAACGTGGTACGCGGACGCAGATGGAATTTGTAGTAGACACGGCATGGACCGCTCGCGTCGGCTCGGTACTTCAAAGAAAGAAATAATAACATACGATTACGTATCTCCTTTTATCCCCTTATACTTTACGGCGTGAATGCTTCTTTTTCTTTACAATCACCTACAACGAAACCTGTTCTCTCATACGTCGGCCGCTTAAAAAGTGATCCCGAATTAATAGCTACAAAGTGTGATTATTAGAACAATTTTATATGTACAGGACAGGCAGATACGTGTGGAGTTAGTTTTTATGTAATCCATATTGGAGGAGTTATTTTGATTCTGAATGACTGATCGATCCATCAAAAATGCTTCCTGTATATTGTAGGTATCAGTGAAACTAAAATCTACTTGCTTATTAATCTTATTATTACTATGGAGATCTAGTTTCATTCAAACACCGGTTGTAGTAAATTGTGCAAAAGAGCAAAAACGCATTAAGAAGTAACAAATGCACTAGTAGCAGTCCCTAACCCTAGTAACATAATACTGTCCCAAAGGGATGTAACAACGTCGGTGATTATCAAAGGGATTTAAATGATATCAATAGCTTTGTGCTACCGCGAGCCCTTTGTCGGCGCGCTCTTTAGCGGTAACATCACAAGCGACAACTCTGCCTGCTCGCCGATCCATTACTGGATTTACTGGATACTGTACTGTTTGTGCACTTTGGTTGATATCGGCTCACTGCCTAACTCGCCGCACGCGCGTCCGTCCAGCTTCGTGGATCCAAGCAAAGTGAGTGAGGGAGGGGGTATGCCCCGCTCCCCCACTATACTATAGCGCGCGGCGTGTACGCATGAGACGACAGAACCATATAATTCTACAAACACTACATCTCTTCCTTATTTTAATGAGAGTTTTAGATATAATAATAACTTTTATTATATTTAGTAACATCTTTATTAGAGCATCATAACAATCTTCTACCTTTTTACTTGACATCACAAAGGTAATATACTCTTTTAATTTAAAACTATTTTGATGCCCCATTGCCTTTTCTATTTACTTTTCAATTATCATAATCAACTAAAGTTTACGATTCAGCATAACGTTAATAGCATCAATAATCTTTCCAATATTCTGGTTTTAAGGAACACTTTGTACTAACTAATTTAATACTTCCTTCACTTCCCAATTAACCTTTGTTATTAACATCATAACATTTTGCTTGTTCCTGCTCCTAACTTCATTCGCTTTTCTAATGACAATTTATTAAATGAACTAACATCATGCTTCCTAGTTCTTTATTTTAAGCGTAACCTAAATCAAATCAAAATCTATTTTAGTAATTTATTCTTCGTTAGCAAGTTCTTTGCTTCACTGTTTAAACTATAATTCTTCTAGTCCTCTTCTTTTCTCTCTGGATCTTCTGTTTCGTCCTCTCTTATAACTTTCCATTCTCCTTCTACCTTTTTTAGGTGTACTATATTTCGTCTCAAACGTTGTCCTGTTTCCTCGTTTTCTACCTCAACATCGCCTCCAGTTCGTGATTTAACTGTATATTGAGTTGGTTCATAATTTGTACTGAGTTTATTTGCTTTATTCATATCTTTGATATATACTTTCTCTCCTGGTTCTAGGTCAATATCTTGTGCTTTCCTTCTTCTGTCCGTGTACTCTCTTCCTCTTTCCTTCTGTTCTCTGTCCTTGTCTCGTAAGTCCATGTCATCATTTCTATGCTCCACGTCATCGATCATAGGTATTTTATCCCTGATTTTCCTCTGGAAGAACAACTCTGCTGGTGTTTTTCCTGTGACTGTATGGGGGGTATTGTTGTACATAGTCAGATAATCGACTAACGATTCTCTCCAGTGAATTTTATTTTCAGCCTGGCATATTCGTAGTCGTTTCAGTATACTTCTGTTCTGGCGCTCGACTTCTCCATTTTGTTGCGGCCAGTACGGAACAGAGTGATATAATTTTATGTCATTTTCCTTACAAAATGACTTAAATTGTTCGCTAACAAACTGTTTTCCGTTATCTGCCATTAAAGAAACTGGATAACCGAGCCTACTGAAAACTTCCCTTAGCAGTTTTATCATTTCCTTACTGGATATATCTCGACAAATCTTTATTTCTTGATATCTAGAGTAATAATCGACTACTACCAGAAGATAATCGTTGGATGGTAATGGCCCTAAAAGGTCTATTGCAATGTCAACCCATGGATGTGATGGCAATTCTCTTCTTTTCAAAGGGTGTGGTGCATTAGGTACAGATACGAGTGTGCATCCTTTACATGATTTGACCATCCTTTCCACATCTTGGTCGTATCTAGGCCACCACACTTTTGTTCTAAGTCTCGCTTTCATTGCCACGATACCTGGGTGTCCCTCATGCGCCGCTGATAGTACTCTGTTTCGCAATACTTTTGGTATAACGATTTTAGTTCCTCTGAGTAGAATTCCTTCGTGAAAGCAAAGTTCATTTTCAATCAGCTTGTAACATTTTACAGCTGCATCCCACTTACGCTCATGAACACCTTCTTTAACTTTTTGAATTTCTAGGTCTTCATTAGAACAACGCTCAATATCGCTTAATGACACCGCTATGGGTCTAACATGCTCGATTATGTTTTGTACATAATCGACATTTGGGGCACTATTTTCCGGGGTGAGTTTACATAGTCTAGAAAGTGGATCAGCAATGTTGTTTTTTCCCGGGCGATAAATAACCTTATACTGGTATGATTGTAACCGGAGCATCCATCTTTCGATTCTCGCACACGGTTTTGACTTTGGACTGAATATCACTTCCAGAGGCTTGTGATCAGTCACCAAGTTGAATTCTTTTCCGTAAAGGAACATGTGAAAGTGTTCTACCGCCCATACCAGTGCTAATGCCTCTTTTTCAGTCTGACAATAGCGGCGTTCGCAATCGGTAAGGGTTTTGTTTCCAAATGCAATAACACGTGGTCCAGAATCATTTTCCTGTACTAGAACAGCACCTATAGCAACCGGACTTGCATCGGCAAATACAAGTGTTCTATCTTGTACGTTATAATAGCCCAAGTCAGATATGTCAGCAAGGTCAACTTTTAAAGAGTTAAAAGAAGCTTGCTGACTTTCTCCCCACAACTCACGTATATCAGTGTTTCTGCCAAATTTATTACGAAGCAATTGTTTAAGCGGTTCTGTTTTTGTAGCTAAGTTGGGAATCCATTTGCCCACGTAATTTATCAAGCCCATAAAGCTTTGTAATTCAGAAACAGTTGTAGGAGCTCTAAATTTTTTAATTGTACTTAAGTATTTATCTAATGGTCTTATACCCTGTTTAGAAAGTTTGTGGCCTAAGAATTCTACTTCGTTTGTACTAAGAATACATTTTTCATGCCTTAATATAACATTATTGGCCTCTAACACTTCAGTGACTTTTTGAAGTCTGGCATCATGTTCTGTTCGGTTTTTTCCGTACACTAAGATGTCGTCAATGAAGTTAATAACCCCTTTACAAGTTAAGAGAATACGCTCAAGAGTTTTCTGAAATATTTCCGGAGCACAAGAAATACCGAACATCATCCTTTTGTACCGGTAAAGACCTTTGGCTGAGATGAAAGTTGTGATGGATCTAGAATCTGGATGAAGTTCCAATTGGTGGAAAGCATCACAAATATCCAATTTACTGAAAATGACCGCATCTCTTATCTTCGGTAGCAGCTGATCCATTGTCGGTAACGGGTGGTTTTCGCGTTTTATTGCTGAATTTGCTCGTCGCATATCTATACATAGGCGGATATCTCCGTTCTCTTTCAATATGGGAACTATAGGTGATATCCATTCTGAATGACCATCAACTTTTTCAATTATGTCTTTTTCAAGAAGTTCATTTATTTTAGCATTAACTTTGCCTTCTAGAGGAATTGGTATACGCCTATAAGGCTGTGCAATCGGTTTTACTTTATCATCTATTGGAATGTGTATTACAACATTTTTGAATTTTGGGAATACTTTACTTCGTATCTCATTTACTGCTACACCAATCCTTAATACTCCTAATGCCAAGGCTGTCACTTTTCCTAATAGATTTCTAGTGCCATTTTCAACTACGTAGAAAATTGAATGCTGAGTTTTTCCTGCCAGTTCTATTGAAGATTTAAAAGCTCCTAACAACTTTAGAGGAGAGTCGGATCCATAAGCATAAAATCTTTTTCTTGGATTTTGTGTTTGTTCAATTACTTTTATCCTATTTCTCTTCATAACACCCCAAGATTTACTTGTAATCAAATTGTACTTGCAGCCGGAATCAATCAACATGTCGACTTCTACGCCTCCTATTTTACAGATTACAATATCATCGTTGTTCATGTTAAACACATAATCAATTTCTTCATCTGAATTACTATTTTTTTGTTCGTTTATGTTGTTCGTATCTTGTCTCTTGAATTTCTTTGTATCTTTATTGCGTGTTTGTTTTGCGTCTTCTTCTAGTTTCCTTTTTAGCGGGTTTGTCTTGCACTGCAGTTTGAAATGCCCGATTCTTCCACATTTTGTGCACTTCTTTCCTCTTGCTGGACATTTCTCATCGTATGCTAAGTGATTCCACCCGCCACATCGAAAACATTCTCTTTTTCCTCTTTGATTTTTATTTTTACTGTTATCTTTCACGTGATTTACGTCTTGATTCCTTTTCTGTTTTTGACTAAAATCTTCTAATTGTCTGTTTATTACTTCTAACGCATTTGCTTCAGCTATAACATCTTCAAGAGTCATTTTATCTCCATTTTTTAAGATTTTCTTCCTTAATTCTTCTGAACTGCATCTGTCAGTAATCTGATCCAGGAGCTGGTCATCTACATCCACGAATTGGCATTTAGCAGCTTGTTGTCGCAACCGGACAACGAATTTTTCAAACTTCTCGTTTTCTTCCTGCTTTATTAATCTAAACACGTGCCTTTCAAATCTTTTACTTTGTTTGGGTGCAAAATACTCATCCAGTTTCTTAATTGCCATTTTAAAAACATCTGTTTCAGTTTCCTCTGAGGTATTCGTTGCGGCTTCGTCAGGAATGTTATAAAATATTTCTTGTAATTCTGACCCACCCCAATGTAAAAGACTTGCTCGCTTCTGACTTGGTGTAGTAACATTTGCAGCTTCTAGGTATACGTACAAGCTTCTTTTCCATCGTTCCCATCTTACGCACACCGATGTCACCTCACCCTCGCATTCAAATTTTTCTAACGATAGGTTTGCCATTGTTACCTGTAAATAACGAAATAGGTCACAAAACGGGCACCATCCGTTCTATGGCTTCGTAAAACACGTTTATGAAAGCTTCCGTCATCAATTATCGTAATACTTCTGGTCATGAACGGGCGTCATCCGTTCTGACCTACAATATCCATCATAATACTTTTAGTCATGAACGGCATCATACGTTCTGACCAACATAGTTCATCATAATACTTCTACCTAGTCATGAACGGGCGTCATTCGTTCTGACTAACCTTTATGAAAGCTTCAATCATAACTGATCATAACACTTCTAGTCGTGAACGGGCATCATCCGTTCTGACTAACTTCCCAATGTACGCCATGTAACCGTAATT